GGTAGGCCTCCTTCAGTAGTGGTAGGCCTCCTTCAGTAGTGGTAGACCTCCTTCAGTAGTGGTAGACCTCCTTCAGTAGTGGTAGGCCTCCTTCAGTGGTGGTAGACCTCCTTAAGTAGTGGTAGGCTTCCTTCAGTAGTGGTAGGCCTTCTTCAGTAGTGGTAGACCTCCTTCAGTAGTGGTAGGCCTCCTTCAGTAGTGGTAGGCCTCCTTCAGTAGTGGTAGGCCTCCTTAAGTAGTGGTAGGCCTCCTTCAGTAGTGGTAGGCCTCCTTCAGTAGCTGTAGGCCTCCTTCAGTAGTAGTAGGCTTCCTTCAGTAGTGGTAGGCCTCCTTCAGCAGTGGTAGACCTCCTTCAGTAGTGGTAGGCCTCCTTCAGTAGTGGTAGACCTCCTTCAGTAGTGGTAGACCTCCTTCAGTAGTGGTAGGCCTCCTTCAGTGGTGGTAGACCTCCTTAAGTAGTGGTAGGCTTCCTTCAGTAGTGGTAGGCCTTCTTCAGTAGTGGTAGACCTCCTTCAGTAGTGGTAGGCCTCCTTCAGTAGTGGTAGGCCTCCTTCAGTAGTGGTAGGCCTCCTTAAGTAGTGGTAGGCCTCCTTCAGTAGTGGTGGGCCTCCTTCAGTAGCTGTAGGCCTCCTTCAGTAGTAGTAGGCTTCCTTCAGTAGTGGTAGGCCTCCTTCAGCAGTGGTAGACCTCCTTCAGTAGTGGTAGGCCTCTTCGTAGTGGTAAGACCTCTTAAGTAGTGGTAGGCCTCCTTCAGTAGTGGTAGGCTTCCTTCAGTAGTGGTAGGCCTCCTTCAGTAGTGGTAGGCTTCCTTCAGTAGTGGTAGGCCTCCTTCAGTAGTGGTAGACCTCCTTCAGTAGTGGTAGGCCTCCTTCAGTAGTGGTAGGCCTCCTTCAGTAGTGGTAGGCCTCCTTAAGTAGTGGTAGGCCTCCTTCAGTGGTGGTAGGCCTCCTTCAGTAGTGGTAGGCCTCCTTCAGTAGTGGTAGGCCTCCTTGAATGAGATTGTTTTAAATGGCTCATTGGTCACGTTACAAAAAAAAAAAAAAATTAGGCGCAATAAGTAACAAAAATTGCTACATATCTCTACAGGATGACTTGGATAAATTGAGTGACAGATGGATGATGGAATTTTATGTCGATAAACGCCATGTAATGGAAGAGTAATTGCATGAGAATGTTGAGTGATAAAATATTAAATATAAGACAAGGAGACGGACCTAGAAGTTATTATTAACAAAAGAATTGTCACGATGATTATGTAAACAAAACTGTAAGAATCTCGCCAGCGTATTTATAGATAGAAAATTAAAAAAAAAAAAAAAGGTTTTATAACATATTAGGTTAGAATTCGAAAAGAGTTTGGTGGTGTGTTGCTCACATCTAAAAGGAACGTGGATAATTCAGAAGAGTCCAAAGAGCAACTAAATGGCTACCAGGGTAGATAAAAGCATTCTCAAAATCGCATCTGTTTGCGAGGTAATACAAGATTATAAGCCGCATAACACACATATGGGAGAGCACTAAACCCGTAGGCGTTATGCAGCGCCCGAGTAAAGGGAGGTAATCAGATTTGATTTGAGGAAGGGGAGGGATAATGCGGATTATCAAGAGCATCGCCGTCAGGAAGACGCCTCATGAACGTCGCAGTGAGTCCCGGCGTGCTGGCTATAGATTATTTTTTATAATCATAGATAACGCTTAACCCGTAGGCCTACAGCTGCAAACAGTAGATTTTATCTTTTGGGTGAAGATATAATGATCATTGTGAATAACCCATACATGTTTAGTTATTTTTTATAAATACGGAACTAACTGGAGAAAGTTGTTGTATGTAATATGCAGAAATCACCGGGACAGGTGAGTGCTACGACCCTCATACCCGAGTGTGACACAAGTCTGTTACATGTTTTACACTGGCAGGATTATTGGTCTCTTCTGTCACAATGACTGAAAATGACAGGTATATTTTACTGCTACTACTTACACCCAGTGTATACTACAAGCTTTTGAATGTGTCAGTTCTTACCTTTGTCGTGTTTTAATTCCATGATGAAGTGGGTTAGAATACTTCCATAAGTCATGCATGTCGTAGAAAGGAACTAAAATGCCCAGTAACAGGGGCTAGTAATTCCTTTATCAATTACTAAAAAGACAACGAAGCTAATTATTAAGTTGGGATTTAATGTGCATGGCTATATTAGAGAACATTTTTTCATGAAAGAAAAGGAGACGGGTGTCTTAACAGGCACAAGAATTACTATGAATAAGAATAAAAAAAGATTAAATCTGGTGTATGAGAGAAATGGAGCAAAATAAGTAGCGGTAATATTAAAGAATCAATTGTGGAAAGGAAGGCGGGGGTGGGGGGACAAGTGTTTAAATTCCATAACTATGTGGATAAAAAGAGAGGCTATGAGAACTGGTTTTGGTTTATAGTAACTATGTTTTTGGGGACGAGTGTGTAGAGGGAAAGATTTTGAGAGATGTTAAATGAATGTGTTCGGAGTTTTGATTATTATTATAAGCATAACTAAGTGCTAAACCCATAAGGGTCATACAGCGCTGTCCAAATGTTATAAACCCAATATTATTGTTCTCAACTGGGAGACTGTTGTTGAGGACTCGGTAGGTAAATTTCTTGTGTAAAGGGGTAAATGATGCAGGCCTCTAATAAATTACATTTAGAAATGGGTTAAACTTATTTTGAGGGGGCGTTGACCCCCGAAACCCTCTCCAGGTATAAATTTGAGGCCTGGTCATGGACCAGGCCGTGGGGGCGGTGACCCCTGGAACACCCTCCAAGTATGGTGCGGGCAATGACAGCTTGCTAGACTATGCACTGGTAGATAAAAGGCTGATAAGTAGACTTCTGGATGTTCATGGTTTTCGAAGAATAACTGATATGTTAAACCATTATTTACTTGTACCTAGAGTAAAAGACAGGCGTATAAGGAGAAAGATATCAGTAAGAGAGAAGTGAAAGCGGATGAATTAAAGGAGACAGTAGGAAATATAAGCAGTTAACATATTATGATAATCAAAACCGAGCACCAACTAGGAGCAGTTAGCATAAAAGTGGGGTAGAAGGAGTACAAGCAATGAGGTCTAAGTTATGGAGTAGATTAAAAAAATGCAGCTCTAGAGTGCGCAGCAGAAGTTTATTATAGGAGGGTCGGTGTGGATATGAAGATGGATACTTAATTGAATGACAAGAGGGAGATAACGTTGGCACAGTTTAGTTTAGTATGTTTATTATGCATCCCATACCCATCCTGTGGGCGGTAGTCAAAAGATTACGGATGTACATAATGGGTCCAGGGACTGGACTCCAAAGTTTTGATAGCTGAGCAAGTTACAAAGGTAATGAACTCCAGGTAGATCTGGTCACAATCATGGTAAGTTACAATGTAAAAAAATGTATAGTAAAGCAAAACATATGGAGAGAAATGAGTGTAAAAGGAGAGCCTGTAAGAGAATGGGCGAGGGATTATTACAATCATGGGGGGAGCGCTAAACCCGTAGGATTATACAGCACCTGGAAGGGGGGGATGAAAGGTATTCAGGCTTAATTCAGGGAACGGGAGCACAAATCCAGTTCCCTAGATCAAGAGCCCCTCACCAGGGTTAAGGAATCTCCCTAGAGGTGTGAGGGATTAAGAAACTTGAGAAAACCTGGAAAGCTAATGAAGTGAATGGACACAGGACGTATCATTGTGATCTGCTGCTTCGCAGATTGTAGTTCTCTTGCGATCTAGTGTCTGGTTGGGTGGCTGCAGCACTAACATTTCTGTCATTTGTCCAAGGTGTCACTGCTTCACCTCACCTGTCTATTATAATAAAAAAAGCGCTAAACCACAAGGGCTATACAGCTCACTGTCTATAAATGATACAAGATTCTTCCTAGACAAAGTTGTACCAACATAAGAGTGATGACCAATCACATCAGTTTTCAGCCGAGACAGATTTTTTCAAACATCCTGATCTCCAACACATCTTCTTCTTCTTTTTATTGGACTGAGGAAGCCGCTGGTTGGCGAAACGTTTCCATATTAAAGATACCCACGTGTCTAATTCATCAGAGGTCATGCCAGATGGCTACCCATGACTCGCCGGAGGGTTACCTAAATGCCCTTAGACGATCCAATTTCCATCAGGCGAGTGACAGGCCACACGTCGCTATCAATGTCAGTTACAACAAGGCAATAGTTATTAATTTTCCTCTCGCCTAGGAGCTGAGGTTTACAAGATATTCCCACTAAGGGCAAAAAGCAAGAGGATGGGGGGATATTATTATTATTATAATCAAAAAGAAGCGCTAAGCCACAAGGACTATACAGCGGATGGGGGGATAGATTATTATTATAATCAAAAAGAAGCGCTAAGCCACAAGGACTATACAGCGGATGGGGGGATAGAGGTTAGTTGATGGGTATACCTGGAAACTTTCGGGGGTCAACGCCCCCCGCAGCCAGGTCTGTGACCAGGCCTCATGGTGGATCAGGACCTGATTAACTATGCTGTTACCGTTGACCAAAGCCCGGCTGGTCAGTTACTGACTTTAGGCGCCTGTCCAGCGTTTTCTTGAAGACAGCCAGGGGTCTGTTGATAATATCCCTTATGTATGCTGGGAGGCAGCTGAACAGCCTTGGGCCCCTAACAGTGTTCTCTCTTATCGTGCTAGTGGCGCCCCTGCTTTTCATTGGGAAAGGGGGGAGGGATGTTGCATCGTCTGCCAAGTTGAATTAGATACAAGGAAGGGGAGAAGTCCAATTAATCAAAGAGCCCTTCATGTGAGTATTCCCTTAAAGGGAATACTTCCACGAATTTTTTTCTTTGCAGCACTTAATACATTTTAACTATGTAAATGTAATTAACACAAGAGCTAAACATTATTAAGGGTAATAAAATGCATTCTTCACAGTTAATTTTTTTATAAAAGGTATTGAAAGTTAATTTTATTAATTCAGACAAATACTATGAGAGTAAAAATAAAATGCAACCAGTTCCACAGAAGTAATTTATTTTGACGCTTCAACACTGCATCAAGACACTAGCTTTTTTATATATTAAAATCAAAGAAAATTTATTTACTATCCGGTTTCGTGCGAATCCTATTTACAAAACTAGACCACTAAATACATTTAGCCATCTCAAAAACTCAAATTACTATTTTCTGTGTTGTATATATTTTAGATTAAAACTGACGTTTCCTCTCCTGAAGGAGAAAAAAAAAACCCGCCAAAACTCAGATACACCACAACACAGAATTATTTTAATTAAATTGCAAAGTCCAATATCAACAATGCATGAACAGTACTTATGCCACCATTTTCCTGGCTTTTCCACGGGTAACCTATCTTTTAAATATAGACTATATATTTTCTTTTCATTATAAATTGATTAGAAATTTATTTTAGCAGAGAAAACGATAGTACAGTAACCTTCGTTAAAATTTACATAGTAAAAATATGGCTAAGGTTACCATATAAAACCATACAAATAACATGGTGTTAAATTTAAAATCCTGAAGTTGTGAAAACGTAGGTTAATAGGCTACGCAAGACTGACTTTATAGAAAAACTATATACATAAAATATTGCACAGACAAACAATGTTTATATGTATTTATAAACCCTTATAAGTTATCACGTTTCACAAGCATCGGGTCACGAGTTACACAGTGGAAATCAAAGAAACGTGTACCAGTTTTGTTATATCACAAGGAGTTGTTTAAATTAATGTAAGCAACTGCAGTTGCCTTTGGAGAACCAGTCACGATGGACTAGACACGTAACTAAGAATAATTTCTAGTAACCATATAAAAAGTTTTATGATATTATACAGTGATAGCATTATGAACATGAGGAGACCAGTGAATATACAGTTCAAGACTCTTTACCCAAATTGCATGTCTGTTTTCAAGAATACTGTTTTACATAGTTCCAATCCCTAAATTATATAAAAGATAATTATGTACAAGAATGCTACTTTTAAATGTCAGTGCACCCACTACATTCTAAACAGCATTTTTTTTAAATTTATATCGCAAACAATAGTTTTTATGGATATTTTCGACTTTTGCTACATTAACTAAAATTTGCTTGCTCTAAAATTTCAATACCTTTCAACAACTGCGACATAATATATTGGTCATTTGAGAATATGAACGGTAGTAGCAGAAGTTTAATGTGCACTACATTAACCAGAAAATGTTTGCCCTAAAATTTCAATAACCGCAACATGGAACTGTTCCTTTGAGAAAGGGAACGGCAGCAGTTTAATGGATGTATTGTGTTAGATGTCCAGAGTACTAGACCAGAATAGTTAATTTTGAGGTTTGATCAAAGAAATGCTATTCAAGGGTTGGACCATAAGACAGCTTAGGTCACTGAAGTTTGTGGGTGAAGAGATATTATGGATGAAGCTAATCCAAAGTGGAAGGTCTTGGGATAGTTATCCAAAGTTCTCGAAGTGATGAATGAAGTATGGTAGACGACGACCCCGGTTCACCTGCTCACATGCTGTGCTCACGCTCTTTGTGAGGGGATTAGGACCACAGCTGAATACTCCAATTTTAGATACCTGAAAATTTTAAATATATTAATAATACTTTTATAAAGGAACATGTACCGTGAAACTGAAATTTTTGAACACAAATGCTGCAAAAAAAAAAAAAAATACTTAATAGCATTTTCTTTCTTTCAACACACCGGCCGTATCCCACCTAGGCAGGGTGGCCCAAAAAGAAAAACTGAAGTTTCTCTTCTTAAATTTAGTAATTTATACAGGAGAAGGGGTTATTAGCCCCTTGCTCCCAGCATTTTAGTCGCCTCTTACAACACGCATGGCTTACGGAGGAAGAATTCTGTTCCACTTCCCCATGGAGGTAAGAGGAAATAAACAAGAATAAGAACTAGAAAGAAAATAGAAGAAAACCCAGAGGTGTGTGTATATATATGCTTGTACATGTATGTGTAGTGTGACCAAAGTGTAAGTAGAAGTAGCAAGACGTACCTGAAATCTTGCATGTTCACGAGACAGAAAAAAGGACACAAGCAATCCTACCATCATGTAAAACAATTACATGTTTCCATTTTACACTCACTTGGCAGGATGGTAGTACCTCCCTGGGCGGTTGCTGTCTATTAATTACATTGTATTATTCAAAACAAATTAACACATTAACAGAACAAATATAGGTGTAATAACTTCCAAAATAGTGAAGCAAAAATTTTTTTTGCGTATCTTTCAAATTGTAATGCAAGGATGAAAGTTTGCAAAGATATTCTTTTATGGTCATTCTTCAAATTCAGCCACTGAGTCACCTGAAAATTAAAGATGGTGGCCATTCTTTCCAAGATTGCTGCCATTTTATTCAGACCATCCATTACCTACAAAATAACTGGCAGCGATCTCCGATTTATCTCGAAGAACCCAAGACTATCAGAATATTGAACTGTTTATTAAGAGGTTAAACCAATTGAAAATGCCTTATAAATTGATAACAATGACAAGAATACTTACTGTAAGTGCTAAGTAGGAAAGTTTTTTTTTTTCTGAAATTACATTCTACTTCACAGTCTATCAATGAAGGTGCAAGTAGCCATGTTCACGCTAACATATCTATCCACCCTTGACAGATACAGAGTTAATCAAAAAGCATGATGAATCATAATGTGAATTCCACACAGTGAAGCTGTTTATTCAGCCAAGCTGCTGCAATCAATGAAAAATGCAAATGAAGTCTCCAGAAGTCAACACTGCACAATTCTTTGACTGCTGGATGACTGAAGAGGCTATTTATTCAGCAGTCACTTGAATTCGTGTGTATAATTTAACACAGTTTAGATATCAAATATGTAAGACATGGTACATCCAATTCCAGCCTGGCTATGGCATAAATTTTTAAAGTACAAATGCTTTGCAAAGTACATTATTTTTTACTTTAATCAGAGGGAAGCGCTAAATCAACAGGGGTCATATAGCACCTAAGGATTGGAATGCATTTAGGTTTGATCCAAGGAGAAAAGGCAAGCACAACTAGGATGGTGAGACCATCCCAACTCAAAGAGAATGGTAAAATGTGCTGCCTACCAGGAGGGATCTCTGAAGTCTGGCAATTGTCCTCCAGTCAGGGAAGAGTTTTGCTGATGGGATTAAGCAAGGTGATATGTGGTAGGTATATTGTATTACTCTTCCACCTATCACTAGTTACTTAGCAAAACTGTGGTCTGCCCTACATAACATGATATGTGGTAGGTATATTGTATTACTCTTCCACCTATCACTAGTTACTTAGCAAAACTGTGGTCTGCCCTACATAACATGATATGTGGTAGGTATATTGTATTACTCTTCCACCTATCACTAGTTACTTAGCAAAACTGTAGTCTGCCCTACATAACTATGAAGGAAGGTTCTTTGATGTAGTGAGGAGACTCTTATCTATGGAATTGGACCTGTGCTTCACTTCCTTTAATAGTGTCAATGTTTTCCATTTCCCCAGGTGCTGTATGACCCCTATGGATTTAGCGCTTCCCCATGAATATAATAATAATCTACATAAAATAATGCAGCTGTAAGTGTCAAGAGTTTGGTTACCAGAATTAATTTAGTGACAAAAATAAAGCACAAATATAGACATTAGCAAGTATTTTGCACACACATCGCCAGTTAGGTAATTTCATTGGAAAAAATGGCTGTCTTTTGGATTTAGGTTGGGTATTAACTAAATTCTCAGTATTGAAAATGGACATTACAGAAACTAGTGGCCATCTTTGCTCAAATGGTTCATCAGCTTAGAGCAATGGCCCACTGACAATGTTCATTCCAATTTTCATGCTTAAATGGCCATTTTAAAAGATAATTCTGTTACCATGAAATTTAGGAGTAAATAATGTTCCAAAAATTTAATACTTACATAACTATGTTTCTTCTGTACGAATTTTAAGAATGACGTCATGTCGGGGCGACCAAAATGATTAATAGCTTTGAGCCCCGTAAACATACTTCGCTTGCTTAGTCGTTGGAAGTGATTCTCACATATGTACTGAAAAAAAAGTTATTGGTAAATACATTTGAATTAGCGCACACAGTTCATTTTTTGTGGTCATCCTCTTCATAAAAGTGCAAGTATTATCAAGGTTTTCTGTTTCTGACATGTTCCATGCTGGAGTTACTTTGCCTTAAGTGTATTTCAAGCCTTATCCTTCCCAAAACTTTTCATACATCTCGAGTTTTTAACATGACACAAACAGTTTTGCAAAATCACAACACTATCAAAATACTAAAGTCAGTAAAAACTATTCATTTTTTTTATTAACACATCGGCCGTTTCCCACCAAGGTAGGGTGACCCGAAAAAGAAAAACTTTCACCAACATTCACTCCATCAGTCTTGCCAGAGGTGCGCTTATACTACAGTTTATAAACTAAAACATTAACACCCCTCCTTCAGAGTGCAGACACTGTACTTCCCATCTCCACGACTCTAAGTCCGGCCTGCCGGTTTCCCTGAATCCATTCATAAATATTACCCTACTCACACTCCAACAGCATGTCAAGTCCTAAAAATCATTTGTCTCCATTCACTCCTATCTAACACGCTCACGCATGGTTGATGGAAGTCCAAGCCCCTCGCATATAAAACCTCCTTCACCCCCTCCCTCCAACCTTTCCTAGGCCGACCTCTACCCTGCCTTCCCTCCACTGCAGATTTATATACTCTCAAAGTTATTCTATTTTGTTCCATCCTCTCTACATGTCCGAACCACCTCAACCCCTCCTCAGCCTTCTGGATAATAGTTTTGGTAATCCCGCACCTCCTCCTAATTTCCAAACCAAGAATTCTCTGCATTATATTCACACCACACATTGCCCTCAGACAGACATCCCCACTGCCTCCAACCTCCTCCTTGTTGCAACATTCACCACCCATGCTTTGCAACCATATAAGAGCGTTGGTATAACTATACTCTTATACATTCCCCTCTTTGTTTCTATGGACAAAGTTCTTTGTCTCCACAAGCTCCTTAGTGCACCACTCACCTCAGTGCACCGCTCGTCAATTCTATGATTCACTTCATCTTTCATAGACTTATCTGCTGATACATCCACTCCTAAATATCTGAATACATTCACCTCCTCCTTACCCTCTCCCTCCAATCTGATATCCAGTCTTTTGTTACCTAATTTTTTTTTTATCCTCATCACCTTACTCTTTCCTATATTCACTTTTAATGTTCTTCTTTTACATACCTTACCAAACTCATTCGCCAAACTCTGCAACTTCTCTTCAGAATCTCCCAAAAGCACGGTGTCATCAGTGAAGAGCAACTGACAGCTCCCACTCTGTGTTAGATTCTTTATCTTTTAACCCAGCACCTCTTGCCAACACCCGAGCATTCACTTCTCTTACAACCCCATCTATAAATATATTGAACAACCACGGTGACATGACACATCCTTGTCTAAGGCCTACTTTTACTGGGAAATAATCTCCCTCTCTCCTACATACTCTAACCTGAGCTTCACTCTCCTCTTATTCCATACATTTGCAACATCTGCCACATTGCCCCCCTATCCACCCTGTCATACACCTTTTCCAAATCCACTAAATGCCACAAAACCTCTTTACCCTTATCTAAATACTGTTCACCTATGCGTTTCACTGGAAACATTTGGTCTACACACCCTCTACCCTTCCTAACGCCTCCTTGTTCATCTGCTATCCTACTCTTCGTCTTTCTCTTAATTCTTTTAATAATAACTCTCCCATACACTTTACTAGGTATACTCAACAAACTTTTTCCCTATAATTTTTGTACTCAATTTTTTTACCCTTTGCCTTTATACAAAGGAACTCTGCATGCTCTCTGCCAATCCCTAGGTACCTTACCCTCTTCCATATATTTATTAAACAAAATCACCAACCACAGCAGAACTATATCCCCGCCTGTTTTTAACATTTCTATCTGTATCCCATTATCCCAGCTGCCTTACCCCCTTTCATTCTGAACTTCCCCCACACTCAAAACTCGCTCCTCTTCACTCCTACAAGATGTTATTCCTTCTTGCCCTATACACGAAATCACAGCTTCCCTATCTTCCTCAGTATTTAACAATTCTTCAAAATATTCCCTCCATCTTCCTAATACCTCTAACTCTCCATTTAATAACTATTGATGGCTACCCCAAGGCTTGAAGATCTTATTTTTCGTTTCGACATGATAATAACAAGTTTCATTGTATTATGTACAGGTTATTTGTGTATCATAATGATGAATTCTAGGTAAACTTGTGAAAATAATGCTCCTACAAATTAAAAAAAAAAATACACATATATACAAGGTACATATACTGTATAAACAAAATACATTTACTGTTCTTACCCACATTATGTTCAAAGAGGCATATAATATAAAAGATAAAATGACTTACAAGCATAGTAGTTCGAAGATCAAATTTATGGAAGAACTGTGTAATGAAAATGTGCATTTCCAAGACATTAGTTACATCCTTTCTCTCAACATCCCGTAAAACATCAATGAACCACTCAAACTGACGGTGTGTTGGACAGATCCACAGGAAGTATACCTGAAATAACATTGGAATTAAATTTATTTATGCTGTATTGAGACATCAGGTAAATAAATTACCAAAAAATTATGCACAATGATGTTAGTAAACTGTTGTGAAATTAAACAGCAAAATACAATTCATTTATGAATATGTTCTGTGAATGAATTTAAACCAAATGATCATAAAAAACGATAATGAAAAATATGTTAAATGTAAACAATAATATAATCTGAGTTACAACCTTTAAAACAATGATCGAAGAATTAACGTTAAAAAAAATGTTCATGAGATGAAAATATTTCAAGTAAAGGCATAATAAAGTTCAGAAAGTGCTAATAACCTTTTTACAGGCCACACCCGAGTATCTGTTGGTGGAGGTGCCGAAGACAAGATCATTAAGAATGGATGCATAGGGTGTGACTCCAATGCCACCTCCAACCATCACTGCAACTTCAAACTTGTACCAGTCTTGGTTTCCACCACCAAATGGACCCTCTAGACGTATCTATGAAAAGTAAAGTTTTACTGCAGGCTTTATAATGTGCATGTTCTTATAAATTAAAGCTGCCTAGTCAACATTTTTGGTTTCTGGGGAAATGGGATCAAGGACTCTGGTATCTGTAGTGATCTACTGTGTCAGGCCTTAGTACAGTGTAATGTGTCCTTACTTACGAATTATAAAGGGATATTTACCTTAAAGACCTCTAATATAATTAGGGCTACCTACCTACTTGGGCTGCTTGCAAATTAAAATTTATTTACACAGTTACCAACTGATTTTTGCCAAAAAATGTTATGCTTTAAAACCTATTGAAATGCAGAGATATAAAAATTATTCATGAATACATACATTATATTACATACAAACATATATACACACATACAGTATTTAGAAAATTAGACCTGAAGTAGGTTGAAGAGTGCTTCTGAGCTCTAGCCTTACCCTAGGGGGATTTTCCTCATCGTGAATATAGTTGTGAGGATCGAAGAATTTCCTAAGCTTCCACGTCCATGGCCCTTGAGCTTTTATATGGCAGGAAAGGAAATTCTCGTGTGGTGCAGAAGTTAATGTAAAGGAATGGTATTCAGTCTGGCGGAAGGCTGTACAAGAAAGTCGCACCCAATGTCCACTCAGATACTTGAAGTTTGGTGGTCTGAGAAAATTAATTATTATTAATTACAATGCCTGCGCTGTATTACCCTCGTAGGTTCATTATAATTAATGACAATATACAGTAATAGTCGAGTGAAAGGGGCTAATAACGGGATGGTGGGCTTAACCAATTAAAAGATTTTAATTTTGTTTTTGGGATTCATTATCAAAAGACGAATTATTAGCTTGAGCTTTGCATAAAAGCAACCAAATTATGCAAGAAAGCCAGTTTAGCTATCAATCACTTAGAGCACTTTCAATACACATTTGCAGTGTGTACAATTTTCACATCCTACCTGTAAAATTTGATCTTGACTACATCAGATGGTAACAACTCTGTTTCAATAATGTCAAGCTCCATGTATCGTGTACGAAGACTGATGATCTTGTCAAGTGTGTAGATAATACCAGGACCAACGAAGAATATCCAGAATCTGAAACAAACACTGATTATATTAGAACATTTTCATAGATTGTTTGAGGCTCAAATATTCTCTCTCCCTCCCTCTCCCTCTCTCCCCCTCCCTCTCGTTACAATCACGAATATGTGAATATCATTTAATATCGACGAGTAAAGGATCAAAATATAAAGTTTTTCAAACTTAAGTTGACATTAGCAGTAGCGACCTCGGTCAATGAATCAAACTTAACTAGTTTTAGATACCACTACAACATTTCTAGTGTACAAACCGTTCAACTCTTAAGGCAATATGAGGTTTTGGAAGAAAAATTACACAGATGCCACAAAGTATCTGAACTGAGAATTATAATTTATTTATATTAGAATCATGTGTATGGAGAACGCAAAGCCGTCCAATAGACGCTGACACTGCAGTTGTTAGAATGTTAGAACATCGTCACTTGAGCAATAGGTGCAGATGAGCTTGTCTAAAATATTTCAGGGAGAGGGAAACAGGGGCGCCTTCATGCTATAAGAGGACTTTTGATCCAGGGAAATTAAGCTCCCTTCTCTCGATTGTCTGATTACCTCCCAATTTCCAGGTGATGTATGACCCCTATGGATTTAGTGATCGTATGATTAAACACATCGGCCATTTCCCACCGAGGCAGGGTGACCCCCCCCCCCCCCCCCAAAAAAAAAAAACACTTTCATCACATCATCATTCACTTCATCACTGCCTTGCCAGAGGTGCGTCTACACTACAGTTAAACTGCAGTATATCAACACCCTCTCGTTCAGAGCGCAGACACTGTACTTTCCACCTCCAGGACTCGAGTCCGGCTTGCCGGTTTCCCTGAATCTAAACCATACCCCCGGCCGGGATTGAACCCGCGGTCATAGAGTCTCAAAACTCCAGCCCGTCGCGCTAACCACTAGACCAGCTAGCCACAATAAGATTCATCCAACTAGGTATATTTCTACACCATAGGAAGGTTAGCACAGGCACCTCTGTGACCACAAATGCAAGTTTTTACAGACGAATCTCCAGCTAGCGTGGCCGTGACGAACTCTAGCTCAAGTCCCTTCACTGCCGTCAACATGACTTAAGAAATCGTCATTACGATTTCTTAAGTCATGTTCCCTGAATCTCTTCATAAATTTCACTTTGCTCACACTTTAATAATAATAATTCATACATGAGATAAACATGTCAGTCTTCAGAATGAAAGGTTTTAGTGGAAAACGCTTCCTTGTAACAGTCTGAATAGGAGAAACTATTTTAGTCTTCAGTGTCTGAAATAATTTAACCAAAAAGGCCATCTTATATCATAGAGGTGGTCATGCGGGAGTTAAACCATATCAGTCTTTAGTGTCCTAAATATCCGAGTCAAAATATACCATCTTTTAACACGAGAGAAAACATGCAACAAATAATTTACATCATCGTTCAAAGTATCTGAATTTTTATTAACAAGATTCAATCTTGTAACACACGAGACTTCATACAATTCTGTTTCCTGACGAACCTTACCTCACCTAACCTCATAGAACAAGTGCCTAGGTTTGCAACCATCCTAGGCCCTGTAAGAGATTAGGGAATACATCTTACGGCAGAGGAACCTTAAAAAATAAGATGGATATGAGCAGTGTTTGAAATACGAGGCCCAAGAACAAAAGGGGACATAACGTTGAAACAATTTCTAGGGACGTTAAGCGAAACTTCTTCGCTCTTACGGCAGTAGGGATATAAATGAAATTGATTGATTGTGGTAGTTGAGGTAAACACTTTACACAGCTTTAAAATCAGAAATGACGCCAGAAACCAGTAATACATTGAGGCTCAAGAGGTGTGGCCAAGAGCTAATGCTCCATACAAGCAAAAATAGTGGAAGTGCATATTGTTGAGAATTAACGTGTGCATACACTGAAAATTATGTATATAATAAAAGACAACGTGTCTATTAATAAAGTTTGTAACAGATAGTAACTATCCATCCATTTTTTTTCACGGGACAGGCTGCGACTTCACTATACATGTCTATAAGAAAGAGATAATAGTAGAGGTTATTGTCGTGAGGTTATTTAGATATAACATTTATTTACTAAAATTGCGAGAACAGTTAAATCTAAATCCGAATTTCACTTAAAGAAAAAAAAAATTACCCACCGAGGGGCTCCAGTGAGGCGAGCCAGACCATGGAGGAGACTGAAGATATAAAGGAAGATATATAACTGATGTGCTGCCCAGAAAAACTTGAATGCTTTCCTACGAATCATTGGATGAGCGAAGATGAAGATAATGCACATGATGACGAACAGGATTACACCAGTCAGGCCTAAAGAAACAAAGCGCATTTACAGTTAAGAAACGACTCATTTTATATCACAAATTATAAAAAGTGTTTAGCTTCGGAAAATGCCGGGCAATGTAAAATTTCAATTCTAAAACCATCTTAAGCTTATAAAACAAGTCAATTAAAACTTACTTTAATATATTGTACAATGGACTCGAGATATTTTTGCTACAGTCGAAGATTAAGTAAAATCACACAGCTGAGCTGGTAATCATGGAAACTATAACACCACACCGCACCAGACTATTACAAACCTAAACATTGGTTTTACTATTTATCACTGTCACTATTCTCACTATTATTTGCTAAATAATTGCCAACTGACAAACTGACTACTACTCTGCTGCTCATTCACACCGAGCATAACCGCACACCTCTTACCTGCCTTTATTACCTCCTAGAAAATAACACATTTTAGATTTATTTTAGTATATAAAGGCTCAGCAGTAGCAACTTAACATGCATCTCTCACAAATGAAAACAGGCACACAAGACAGTTATCAAAAGTTGCCACACATCTGTTATATGCCTTTTACAACCTGTCACTTGACATTATGCAACAATATTAAAAAGAATGGTAACATACACACCAGTTAAAGTTTGGAAGAGCCAGTAACCCACAGTAGGTTTCTGATCCGAGGCAAATGCTACTTCTTGAGTCAGACACCTTAAATTTTCAACGGGCTGGGTTGACACATGGTAAAAATTAACCAGATGGCCAACCGTGTGTAAAATACTGAAGAAGAGTGCTGTACATGCTACAATCTTGTGGAACTGCAAAAGATATAAAATTAATTAGTCAGAATGCTGACATTAATACTTATATCCAGATACCCATATTTGATTCTTTAGGCTGTGATCGTTCATTAGGAATAAATTTATCATCATCATCTGAGTGTAGCTTTTGTACAACTGAATCTTATTGCCTATGTTGCTGCTCAGTATAAGTAGAAGTGAGAACGAGTATTATACAGGTAGAGCAATTGCTCTGCAACACCAACCTGTATATGTGAATCAAGTGGAATATACTGCTGGACGCTGAAATCTTTAAGCTTGGTAATGAGGTTCCTGGACATGGTTAGTAGTAGTAGAGAGTAGCAAAATGATAGGGAGGCGGCAGCTCCACGGGTAATAGCAATTCCAACTCCCATGATGTGTCGTAGGTCAGTGTGCTCAGACATGAAGGAGTAATCTGTAAATACAGGTTTAGATCACTCATTAGCTAGATATTTTTTTATTACAAATATATCTGAATATAAACTAACAGCACGCAGACTTTATTAATTAGTTAAAAAAAACACTTACGGATAAATCGTTCACAGAAGAAAGCAATTGTAAGGACATAGAAGACAAAGAGGTAGAAGACGTTTTGACGATTGGCTTCAAGGAACGTGGCTATTGAATCATACTTCTTGAAGACCCAGTGACGATTCTTTTCCCTGATCTCAGAAATGTGGAAGCTGGTCATCCTAGTGGAGAGAACATCACAAAAGTGTTATTATAATACTTTGTATAATGTAAATATTAATCTGAGCAAAATTTAACAGACAGCCAAGGAGCAGTATAAACCAAATATTAATCTTCCCTACGGGAATATTACTTACGCACATCATATCTACCAACTGTATTATAATTCCCATCTAAGGCTAGAAAATTACAAATCTAACAAGGTATTAACTGTGCATTTATCTTTTCTACAGGATAGTTTTTAATTTATTATTAGTTTTGGAGAGCAATGAATGGTGACAGCCGCATTACTTTTCGACTACAGTATGTATTTCTCGTCTTAGTTTCCCGTATCCTGAAATACAATACCAACAAGATGATAAACACAAGACATAATAAGCAGAACATGTTATCACCTCTGTATTCAACTGATGAAGCTTGTTGTACAGGCTAAACGTTTCGGCATTAACAATACGTATGTTGCACACGCGTCACCTTCCACTATTTTTACCTTAAATTAACCTGGAGGATGTACTGATATATAACCACCATCCTGCTTTACCCTGTTATTTCTTAACTTAAACTTGGTGGGGATGACCTGCAACTTGATTAAATAATTCGGCTCTAAACTGAAACCTTAATGTTGCGAGCCGACTGGTCTGGTTTCAAGTCCGTGGCAACGTATCAGCAAGTTTCTTTACACCCATATTCACCTAGCGGTAAAACCAGTTACCTGGCTATTGTGGGTGGTATTCTAGGTAAAATTATTTATACAAAATGTATGAGAAACACCACTTCACGTTAAAAGTATTCAAATGTTGTATTCACAACACGTATCTAATATACGGTAATTATGAAAAAAAAGTAACCTGGATCGGCTTCCCCCCCCCCCAACTTCCCCACCCACGAAACTAAGACCTCGTGCGTCAGCCTGGCTCATGGCTGGGTTTTCCCCATCCCTCCTCCCCCAGCTCTTAAGAATCCATCCCCTCATCTCTCCAACTTCAGTGGTGACCTCAAAGGTCAACAGTACCACCTAAACGAGCACATTTTAGTAAAAATATTTTACTGGAAAGCTCTCCACGATGCGCCCGTAGTTTAGTTAATTATAACTGAGATAACAGTAGTTCCAGCCCTGTTGCAAGAAAACCCTTAAAATCCTGTAACTAATAAATTCTTGGTGGAATGTCTGACTGTCCTCACTGCCCTATCGGAGTCTCCCGGCTCAGGCTGACATTTTATTCCCTCGTATATAAGATTTCGTTCAGATTTTTAACCCTAGAGGGTTAGCCACCCAGGATAACCCAACAAAGTCAGTGCGTCATCGAGGACTGTAAATTATTTCCATTGGGGTCCTCAATCTTGTCCCCCAGGATGCGACCCACACCAGTCGACTAACACCCAGGTGCCTATTTTCTGCTAGGTGAACAGGACAACAGGTGTAAGGAAACGCGTCGAAATGCTTCCACCCGCCGGGAATCGAACCCGAGCCCTTCTTGTGTGAAGCGAGAGCTTTAGCCACCAGGCCACCACCCACAACCATACCACCCACCACCACAACCCATCTTCGTGTGAGCTAATATGAAAGTGAAACAAACTAGCTTTTGTTCTCATAATGTAACTCGTGCAAAAATTATTTTTCATGATGTGTAAAACCCGTGAGGGTCATTCAGTTATACGATGTAATTGAGGCTCGATCCTCCGTCCGGCTGGTATCAGTCAGCCTATTTAGGAAATAATCACAATTCTCGCACAACTGGATAGCAGCACATGATAGGTGTTCCCACACTAACTCTTAAGAAGGTAACAGCACATATTGGTATTCCTACGATGTAACTGATATAGAGCAGAGTAACTGAACACTTGTTTCTATCATGTAACTCGTTCAAAACTGTGAAGTCGCACACTGTTGAGTCTTCCAATTTAAATTATATATATATATATATATATATATATATATATATATATATATATATATATAATATATATATATATATATATATATATATATATAACACAATAAGATCACAGTAAACAGATGATATTACAATATGCAGAACAACCGCTGTGAAAAAATAGTGAACTTCCAAGTGCTTTCGTGATTTCTCCCATTATCAAGGGACATTATCGTGATTTCTATCATGAGGAAGCATGAAAACGCTTGGAAGTTTACTATTTTTTTACAGTGGTTGTCCTGAGAGGAGCGACTTTCACTGCTGAGGTCCAGGGAATAAACTCTGGATTTTAATATAACAAATATTTAACCTAGGTAGTAGGTTGGTAGACAGCAACCAACCAGGAGGTACTACCGTCCTGTAGTAGTAGGTTGGTAGACAGCAACCAACCAGGAGGTACTACCGTCCTGTAGTAGTAGATTGGTAGACAGCAAGCAAGCAACCAGGAGGTACTACCGCCCTACTAAGTGAGTGTAAAGCGGAAGCCTGTAATTGTTTTACATGATGGTAGGATTGCTGGTGTCTTTTTTCTGTCTCAAACATGCAAGACTTCAGGTACGTCTTGCTACTTCTACTTACACTTAGGTCACACTACACATACATGTACAAGCATATATATACACACACCTCTGGGGTTTCTTCTATTTTCTTTCTAGTTCTTATTCTTGTTTATTTCCTCTTATCTTCATGGGGAAGTGGAACAGAATTCTTCCTCCGTACCCCATGCGTGTTGTAAGGGGGGACTAAAATGCCGGGAGCAATGGGCCAGTAACCCCTTCTCCTGTATACATTACTTAAATTAAAAAGAGAAGCTTTCGTTTTTTCTTTTTGGGTCACCCTGCCTCTGTGGGATACGGCCGGTTTGTTGTTGAAAGAATAATTGTTTATATATATATATATATATATATATATATATATATATAATATATATATATATATATATATATATATATATATATATATATATATTATATATTCTTTCAACAAACCGGCCGTATCCCACCGAGGCAGGGTCTACATGGAGGTAAGTCCGGGGATCAACGCCCCCGAGGCCCGGTCCACGACCAGGCCTCCCGGTGGATCAGGGCCTGATCAACCAGGCTGTTACTGCTGGCCGCACGCAGTCCAACGTACGAGCCACAGCCCGGCTGATCCGGCACTGACTTTAGGTATCTGTCCAGCTCTCTCTTGAAGGCAGCCAGGGATTTACTGGTAATTCCCCTAATGCTTGGTGGGAGGCAGTTGAACAATCTTGGTGGCCCCAAAAAATAACAAAAGTTTCTCTTTTTAAATCTAGTAATCTATACAGGAGAAGGGGTTACTAGCCCCTTGCTCCCGGCATTTTAGTCGCCTGTTACAACACGCATGGCTTACGGAGGAAGAATTCTGTTCCACTTCCCCATGGAGATAAGAGGAAATAAACAAGAATAAGAACTAGAAAGAAAATAAAAGAAAACCCAGAGGGGTGTGTATATATATGTTTGTACATGTATGTGTAGTGTGACCTAAGTGTAAGTAGAAGTAGCAAGACGTACCTGAAATCTTGCATGTTTATGAGACAGAAAAAAGGACACCAGCAATCCTACCATCATGTAAAACAATTACAGGCTTCCGTTTTACACTCACTTGGCAGGACGGTAGTACCTCCCTGGGTGGTTGCTGTCTACCAACCTACTACCTAGGTTTATTATATATATATAATATATATATATTATATATATATATATATATATATATATATATATATATATATAATATATATATATATATATATATATATATACACACATGCGTGAGCGTGTTAGATAGGAGTGAATGGAGACGAATGGTACTTGGGACTTGACGATCTGTTGGAGTGTGAGCAGGTAATATTTAGTGAAGGGATTCAGGGAAACCGGTTATTATCATATAGTCGGACTTGAGTCCTGGAAATGGGAAATACAATGCCTGCACTTTAAAGGAGGGGTTTGGGATATTGGCAGTTTGGAGGGGTATGTTGTGTATCTTTATATGTGTATGCTTCTAGACTGTTGTATTCTGAGCACCTCTGCAAAAAACAGTGATAATGTGCGAGTGTGGTGAAAGTGTTGAATGATGATGAAAGTATTTTCTTTTTGGGGATTTTCTTTCTTTTTTGGGTCACCCTGCCTCGGTGGGAGACGGCCGACTTGTTGAAAAAAAAAAATATAATATATATATATAAATATATATATATATATATATATATATATATATATATATATGCCGGATAGGTAAAACTTGCGATTTTGGCTTAAATAGCAATGCTCTTCTTGCCGAATAAGGCAAGCGAAAATTTGTACATGCAATAATTTCGCAAATATCATTTTGAAACTAACTAAAAATACATTTAATTTTGTTTATTATTAAATTGTAAGCTAATCTAAAATATATTTAGTTGGATTAGGCTAAATTAAATTGCTCTTGTTATAATAAGGTTAGGTAAGCTTTCTAATTTTTTTTTGGGTATAAAATTATTAATTTTTACATAAATATAAATGGAAAAAATACATCTTTGAACATATAAGAGAAAATTTTGAGAAAAGACTTAATTTTAAACGAGTTCTTGCTAACTGACCAATTTTATCTATTCGGCACATTATATATTCATGAGTAGCTGCTGCGACCACTACAGGTTCAGGAGCGGTGGAGCGGACGGGAGGGGGGGGGGGGAGACGCATTCAGTAATGGTGCTTTGTTTTTGTGGTTGGGGAAAGGATGGAAGAGGAAGCGGAAAGAAGGTTGTATTGTGACGGTGAAGGTGATTTGGAAGGAGAGAGTGAATAAGGAAGGAGGGAAGGTTTGGGAGAGGGACGATATGGGAGGGGAAGGGGAGATATGGGAGGGAAAGGTGGTTAGAAAATAAATGATGAATGAAGATTATAAAGAAGGTCCACAAAGGATATCAGGCACTCAGGCAGACAAGTTATCGAGAAGTCGTACATTTTGGGAGGGACGCACGCACAACACCAGGGGGCGTACATATGCCAAAGAGGACGGGCATACCAAGACAGGCAAGGTCGTGTCACGACGTTGTGAAGACAGCAGACGTAACCTGGTACTGGTGACCTCGAAAGATGACCTTATGTTCGTGACGCAGCTAGAGAATCATGGTCAGGAATCCTCACGCATCTTCCGCATCACTTTACACGCTGCCATCAACGCCCATCTCTTCCCCATCTGCTTATTTATGCATTAATATTTTCCCGAGTGGTTGAAGTAATCGCTGGATTAGTTCTGTATCATGTTTCGCCCGCACATGCTATTTTTCGTTTCTGCCTCAAACACGTTTCACTTTAGAACGTTTCTATTCTCAAACCTTTACCTTATAATTTCCTGTCTCAACCCTCTCTTCAAATCAAACCAGCCTCAAAGTAAGACTTAAAACTTAACTTAATTTAGTTTTAACTGCTCCAAAGTCAGGTGATCGTAGTGTTATTGAAAGAGGAAGCGCGAGCAATTCCTACTTCCATGTTAATAATACACAAAGACTAACAGAAACAATACAATAAGCTGTGATCATGAGGAAGGAGAAATTGCCACATTTCTCCTGACAAAGAAAATACCAACATAATTAGGTGCCGCACTCAGGGACCTTGGAAATTGTGACTAACTAGTAGGGGAAGACAATACGCAGTTTTGGTGCATCTACAAAAGAGCTAACTTATTACATCATGTTTTCTGAAAGTACTTTAAACTATACAAATCAGCGAGTCTCGCGTTGAGGTACAGCCATACAGGGAAAACGATATTTACCTTCATTATTGTGTTACGTAATTATAATCAACAGAGAACGACAACCATTCACTCTAGATCTTCAACATCCTCGAGTTAGTCATCTGCCCTTGAAGGGAGGCCGAACTAGGCTACAGAGGTCCATGACTCGCCTAGCTGCGTTGGATGCATTCTACAGTCTTGGAAAATACTGATCTAGGCTATTGAGGTTCATGACTCGTCTGGTCACGTTAGTAGGTGAATCGTGTATCCTCTGCCCTTGAAGACTTGACATTGGCTACTGGGGTCCATAACTCACCTGGCCACGTTGGTAGAGGTATCGAGGAAGTTTTGTTTAGCTCCCTTGCAATCGAGGCCAATGGCGATGAAGTCTCCCTTGTATTCTCGCATCATCTGCTTGAAGTCCTCGTAGGTCAGCGACTCCTTGTGGTCGATGCCAGACGAGCTGAACATCTCGTCGATGAGGTCCTCCACCTGCGAGAATACGTCAATCTATTTTTAACACCTAGCGGACACTTATCACAGCCCCTCCCGAGTCACAACAGTGGCTTCTCGCAGTATGGAGCGTAACAGATACTGTTATTTTTTATTAGTTTAAAGTAAATTAACGAAAATTAGCACATTTAATGGAACGTAACAAAATAAGATGCAAAAAAAAAAAAACCTAACCGAAAGTGAGAGTTTCCTTAGCCTCTCTAATTGGCTGGGTAAACACAAAAAAGTTTTATCCATACACCAGAAAACCAACGTTGTGATATAGTTGCAACTTTTTTTTCAACGTCCATTAATCTCTAAATACGTTCCTTTATTACATTGTTTAATGGGAAGCACTAAACCCGTTAAGGGTCATACAGCGCCTAGGGGAGTGGGAGGTAATTAATTTCATTCCAAGGAAATGAAGGGTAATTAAATTTCTTAGCCTCAAGAACCCTTCACCTTCCCTGAAGGGTATACACATTTTCAGGCTTGGCTGCTTGCTCTAGTTAACCCTAGATTTACCAAGGCTCGACTCAGCCCGAGGCATCACACTAAACCACATCTACCATAAGTGTCATGAAAGTGTAATGCTGTATTACTTGTTACATTATGCCCATCACCTGCGCTGACCTTCAAAAGTATCCTTGTTACTGTCTCAATATAGCTGACTACCATTAATAACGAATATACAACACAAAAATGCAAAATTAAATGCCAAGTTGTTGACTTAATAAATTATCTGAGAACAAATTAACTTTCATATTATGAAACTAATTTCTAAGAAAAGTAGCAGTTTCTGATTTTTTTTCCAAGGTAAAAGCAGCAATAGTTTAGAGTGGTGAAACTCAAAACACATTCAGAAGTCATTATGAGAAGCCTTAGCTCCACTATGAATAAACAGTAGTCGTCAAGCACCTTCCCCGTCACTCACCTCCTCATTACTGACAGTGTTTGTCTTAGCGATTTCTACCAGTGACCTTAGCATCTCCGAGAGTTCTGTCTTGTCGATGACGCCGTTGCGGTCATTATCACACATGTCAAAGATGATCCGCAGCTTGTCATCGGTTGTGCCTTTACTAAAGAGCACCACAGTGTCTAGAAACTCCTGGAAGGATATGCGCCCATCGCCGTCTTTGTCCACGATGTTGAACATGCGCCGCACGAAGATGTCGTCAGGTTTCATTCCTAGAGCTCCTGCAAACTCTTTTTTGGAAAGGGAAGTTCTCATCACCATTATAACGTCGCTACCCGCGTCCTCTAGCTTTCGCTTCTCCTCGCCAGGTTTGAGGCCAAAGGTTAGTTCATAGGCCTCTCTGAAGAAATGCTCCAGCCGCTTCTGACGACGCTCTTTCGTTTCTGCGTTGGCCAGCATCTCTTCCTTGTTGGTGTGCACTTTCTCGACGGACTTCCTGTGGGAGGTCATAAACTGCTCCAGCTTGTTGATGAACTTGCGCCTCGCAGCCTCGTTGTCAAACTCCAGCACCAGGTCATGGTCCTTGGGAGGGCGGATAAGGACCATGGGCTTCCTACGGGGATCCTGGGTGAGCTCTACCTGCAGAGTGTCCACGCCGTTTAATGATACCTTACGCATCTTCTCTCCCTTTCTGTTTACAGTGGAGATTTCTTGGTTGGGGCCGAACTTTACTTTTACGATGCGCTTGTGGTTCTTCAACCCAGAAATTTAAAAAAAAAAAAGATTAGCATTAAAGGATAAATTTCCAGAACTTAAAAGGCCTGCCATCATTAAAAAAAAAAACTATCCCTAAATTTTTAAATATTCAAGACAAAATTTATATACAAGAATTATATTGACTCCACCGTTACTTATAAGTGATCCAGTCTGTTCTCAGTATTCCCAATGACCTGGGCAGCCAATCAGCGTTACTAAGTGTGTGAAGTCAGCAGTGTTCCGAGACAAGTACCTGATGTAGCCACTCCTTGACCATCATCTTGTCGACGCTGCGGCCATTGTTGTTTTCCTCTTGCTTGGTCTTAAAATGGCGGCGGCGGGAATTCTGGAACTTGACGGTAGCGTAGCCGGCGCCCGCACACACCAGGGGTACGGCAAGCAGCAGGATGCAAGAATATATGTATGTCACCTCAGACCCCTGTGGCAGGGAGAGAGGACGCACACCGTTAATGAGAGAGGGGAGTATCTTTCTCGTGGGACTTGTACCCTATATGTGGAGAATAATTTTTCCATCTCCTATAGATGGGGGAAAAAAAGTGTGCAAGGGAAGCAGTCAGGGAAGGACTGAGGGGAAAGAGAAAGGCAAAGTGAGGAATTATAATAATGGGAAAGAACTAAACCCAATGGGATGGTACCACACCGAAGGAAGGGGAAAAAAATAGACAAGGAGAGAGATGGTAAGGAGTGTGAAGGATGGGCAACTAAGGAATGTGGAGAAATTTTAAACACTGAAATGTTAAATCCTCTCTACGATAACACTAGGTAAAGTTACCACTAGTCAACTGATAATTGAAAATGTAACGAGATTTGGGAACATTTTGTGGGACAAAAAAAAAAAAAGTAATATTTTACATATATAATTTTAACTTGTATAATATTTTATATATAATTTTAACCTAACATTAACGCAAATTACAAATTTTAATTTACAACAGTATACACAAAACATTTTAAAAAGTACAATAATAATTACCACATTAACCACAATTGTTATTTTCTGTATACATTTCATCAAAGACAATTTGATGGTTGACAATATAATGGTACTTCCTAACATTTTAATTTACATATTCTATATCATGCGAATAATTACAGATATACCCGTGTGTGGTGGTGGAGTGTGAGGTGTGTACTCACCTAGTTGTACTCACTAGTTGAGTTGGGGGGTGATCCGAGCTCTGGCCCGCCTCTTCACTGATCGCTACTAAGGTCACTCTCCGAGCCGTGAGCTTTATCTACCCTGTTAAAGCTAGTATGATCCTGCCTCCACTACATCGCTCCAAACTATTCACTTTGACTACTCTGTGGCTGAAGAAATATTCCTACATCCCTGTGATTTATTGTGTCTTTAGCTTTCCAACTGTTCCCTGTTACTGTTCCAATCTCGAAACATCCTGTTTTTGTCCACCTTGTCAATTCTCTCAGTATTTGTATGTCTTTAAATCATTCCCCCTATCTCTCCTCCCCAGTGTCGTCAGTTGATTTCCTTAACCTCTCCTCGAGGACATACCTTTAGCTCTGGGACTAGTCTTGTTCAACCTTTGCACTTCTCTTTTCTTTACGTGCTTGCTAGTTGGTTCAAATGTGCGCATACTCAATGGGCTAACGTATACGTTACAGGCCTGTGTGTGTGTATGTGTGTGTGTGTGTGTGTGTGTGTGTGTGTGTGTGTGTGTGTGTGTGTGTGTGTGTGTGTGTGTGTGTGTGTGTGTGTGTGTGTGTGCGCGCGCGCGCGCGCGCGTTATGCGCGCGTTGTGCGCGTGTTGTGCGCGTCTAGCTTATTCAGCAACTTCTGCCAATTATGTGAACAAATATCTAAAACTTTCTGAAATACTATGAAGCAAAATTAAACACTGAAATAAAAAACCCATTTCTTAAGCAACATATCACAAAGTAGCCGCGTTAAGGGTCGAGTTAATTTAACTAGAACTAGTTCTGAAATGCTCGAAACAACTCCGATCCTCTTTTTCCCCTACTGTCTGCCAAGATCTGTGAATGAAAGACAATTTTTACGATGCGCGTCGTACACTAGCAGTGGATCAGCTGATGGGTGGAGAAACTAGCGACCCCCAACACTAATAGCTAATGTGTATGAACGTGTTTACACAATGGGTTAACTGGGATTGCGATATAGAAAGCAGTGGGCAGGCAGCGTGCCAGAGTGAAAAACCTGGAGAACTCAAGGTAGACTGGTGGGAATAATGCCGAGCATGGCACCCCTACCATCGTAAATACACCCCGGTCCCCCATTAACCCCCTCACCAGCCCCCCTGCACTGCATCCCTAAAATACACCCCGGTCCCCCTCATGTTCTTTTAATATATATATATAATATATATATATAAATTATATATATATATATATATATATATATATATATATATATATATATAATATATATATATATTATTGTAAATGTGGCAGTGTGCGCGCGTGGTAGTGTACGTGTACATGTGCTGACACACACATGTCAACATTCAACCACAAGAATGCAAGTCTTACCAGAGGAATAAAAACCCTAATATATTTGTGCATCATCACTCGAGACTTGTTCGGAGGTAGAAAGAACAGGAGAGATGAATGAGGAGGATGAACAACAACAACAGGAGGGATGAACAGAATGAGAAGGGTGAAGAAAAGGAGGAAGAGGAAAACAATGATGATGAAAAAGGAGGAGAATGGAAGGAATGAAGATGTAGGTGAAGAAAATGGAAAGACGAGCAAGAGGATAAAGTAATATTTTTTTTTCTAACATGTCGGCCGTTTCCCACCGAGGCAATGTGACCCAAAAAGAAAGAAAAGACTTTCATTATTCAATACTTTCACCATCACTCGTACATAATCACTGTCTTTGCAGAGGCGCTCAGTTATAGCCGAGACCTTCCTCCAAACTGCCAATATCCCAAACCCCTCCTTTAAAGTGCAGGCATTGTACTTCCCATTTCCAGGACTCAAGTCAGGCTAACTGGTTTCCCTGAATCCCTTCACAAAATATTACCCTGCTTACACTCTAAAAGCTCGTCAGGTCCCAAAAACCATTCGCCTCCATTCACTCCTAACACGCTCACGCACGCCTGCTGGAAGTCCAAGCCCCTCGCCCACAAAACCTCCTTTACCCCCTCCCTCCAACCTTTCCTAAGACGACCCGTACCCCACCTTCCTTTCTCTACAGATTTATACGATCTCCAAGTCATTCTACTTTGTTCAAATCTCTCTAAATGACCAAACCACCTCAACAACCCCTCTTCAGCCCTCTGACTAATACTTTTAGTAACTCCACACGTTCTCCTAATTTCCACACTACGAATTATCTGCATAATATTACACCACATATTGCCCTTAGACACGACAACTTCACTGCCTCCAGCCGCCTCCTCGCTGCAGCATTTACAACCCAAGCTTCAAACCCATATAAGAGTGTTGGTACCACTATACTTTCGTACATTCCCTTCTTTGCTTCCATGGATAACATTTCTCGTCTCCACAGATAGCTCATCGCACCACTCATCATTTTTTCCTTCATCAATTCTATGGATAACCTCATCCTTCATAAACCCATCCGCTGACAAGTTAACTCCCAAATATCTGAAAACATTCACCTCTTCCATACTCACTCCCTCCTTCCAATGTGATATTCAAATTTTCTGTATCTAAATCGTTTGATACCCTCATCACCTTATTCTTATCTATATTCACTTTCAACTTTCTACCTTCACACACCCTCCCAAACTCGTCCACTAACCTTCTTAACTTTTCTTCAGAATCCTCCAAAAGCACAGTATCATCAGCAAAAAGTAACTCATCTTCCTTGATTTTTCTTAATAAAGTTAGATATGGAAAACATGATCAACAGCATGAAAAATAATGAAGATTAGATGGAATGGAGTGAAGACGTTGGGAAGATTGAAATGGGGAATTTACAGAAGTCTGGGACCGAAAGTTAGCGTTTTGTATCAAAAGTTGAAATTCAGTCAACACACTCAATATAAAAATAAAGCAAATCATAGGTAGACAGTCATTTAAAACATCCTGGAACTAATCAAGTCTCTTCTAAAATGTCACCGAGGTCTCTACAGACTCGCCAATGATTTATAAAACGTTACCGGGGTCACTACCCACACCTAGTGATAAAAACAAAGTCCAAAACTTGAAAGGGAGGAGCTTAGTATACAATATTAAAATGTGGGTCAGTCAGTGGCGTGCCAGAAGCTGCACCGAAGGTTGGAGGATCCCTGAATCAAGCTCGTGAGTGAGGCCAATGTGCCTAATCTTAATCTGCAGACAACTGTTTCAATGATGATTAGTATGGAATGAGAAGGGACGAACCTCTGCCCCCCCCCCCCCTTTTCCCTCCGCCCCGCCCCCCGCCTCACGTCCTGATGAACCAGTGCAGCTGCTGCTCGTCTCCAGTACTCATTGGGATCACCACTTTCCCATTACTAAACTCTCTACTTGGCCCAGAAAAATCACCAAGGCAAACCACATAAAATGCGCTCCGTTTCCTTATGTGACCGTTATTACCCGGGGCACAGACATCAAAACAATCAACACAGCTACGTCCCTATTTATTTTATTTTTTTATTTAGAAATTTTAGCATACAAACAGAGGTACAAAAAATACAGGTAAGAGCAGCATGCCAAAGCCACTTATATGCATAGCATTACGGGCTGGCTTAAAATTAACTTAAGATTAACTAAGCAATGATGAAATCAGTGATAAGACATTATTGTAAACAGATAACTATAAAATACATTGCATGCATTGCTGTTCATTCAGTAGAATGGAGTATTCTGTTAGGTAGTGTATTTAAAAAAAATAAAGTTAGGTTTAACATTTGTGTGATATAATTGTGAGTAACATTTAGGATATACAATTTATATGGTTCAGTTATTCAGTATTTATTTGGTTTTGAGTGAGTAAGTGATCTTTGAGAAGAGGACTTAATTTATAAACAGGTAGTGTTTCTTTTATATTTACAGGTAATGACTTCAGATTTTGGGGCCCTTTTTATGTGCATTGAGTTCTTGCATAGCTGAGATGGACACGAGGAACATCAAAGAGTGATCTGTGCCTTGTATTATGGTATGTGTTCTGTTGAGGTTGACAAGGAGATGTTTGGGGGAGGGTTAATATCAGATTTTCAGTGTTCTATTTTATTTTAATAAGTGCAATAAAAAGTTTGGATTTTTTTGTTTTGGTGAGTAGGTTGGGGGTTTTTGTTTATTGGTGGAGTGTGCTGCCTGTAGTGAGAATTTTTATCATTCTAACTGCAGCCTTTTGTTGGGTAATTAGTGGTCTGAGATGGATAGTTGTTGTTGAGCCCATGCACAAATTCCTTAGGTGAGATAGGGGTAAAAAAGAGAGTGATAAAGGGCAGGAGGGCTGACTGTGGAACATAGTACCGTATCTTCGATAGT